CCCTCCCCTCCCCTCCTCCCTCCCTCCCCTCCCTCCTCTCTCCTCCCTCCTCCTCTCTCCTCCCTCTCTCTCCTCCCTCTCTCTCCCTTTTCTCTTAAAAAAAAGGTCCTCTTCAATTTAGACTGCTGGGCCACTTGAAGCTTAATGAGTGCAAGGTTAACACCTGCAAGCACAGCATTTGTACTTGTAGAGTTTATTGAGTTTGGAGCAAGCTTCACAGTCTTTAAGGCCTCAGTGTAATGTATCTTCACTAAAAGTGGTCATTATAATGCGGGGAAGGAAGATCCCAGAGAAGAACGGAAATAACAGGAGTTTGCCTTTTGTGAGTTGTGATTTTTTTTGTTTTGCTACTCTCCTAATATAATTTTTAAAAGTTTGTCATAGTGGACAAGGAGACAGAACACTTCAGTATACTGTTAAATAGTCATGATACCTGAAGAAATGACTCGGTAGTTGTAGAAATGTTAGAATACCTTGATTAAACACTTTTATGCTTGGAGAGTGGAAATGCAATTCAAATGCCTAGTCTTTATTGCAGTTGGGCTTATTTCTAGACAAGAAGAGTTATACAAAAGAATAACCTTTGCTAAGACGGGAACATTCTAATTTCCCCTTGTATTTGTTTCTAATTATGAGATTTTGTGGTATATGATGATCTGGTATAACTGACATGTTTTTGAAAGATGATGTTCCACACCATTAATACTGTGAAATTAGCATTATAAAAGAACAAAGAAAACTGTATACTCTTTACAGAAGAGTAGTGGAACAATCTTATTTATAAAGGTAGGCAAGATGCCAAGTTTTATTTCTTCTGCTAGCAATCCAGCTAAAAGCTACAGCAAATCCTGCTTGTTAACATGGAAGCTATATAATGGACTTTAATTATATTGCTCTTATTTCAGATTCCAAGAGATGCAAAACACAAAATTGTTTATATTGCCAAGAAGATTACTGAAAGCATTGGAGTAAATGAGTTCCCTCAAACAGTTTTATTTGGAGAGTTACCTGCCTCATCTCTTGGACATGTAACTGCTTTCCTAGATGAGGTACTGGTCTATCCTTAATATTTCAGTCTTTCATTTATGGCACTTGGAGTTAATCAGGACAGCTCTGCCTATTAAAAAAAAATGTAGAGGCCAGTGATCTCATTAGCCAGGTGGATGGAAAATGATAGCATCTATACTGTTCTGGACATGAGCTGATAGCGATGCTAACATTCAACAGGTAGTAATTTGTAAGACCATCCTTTTCCTCTTTCTAAATAATGCAAGTAAATTAAAAAGCAGCTTGACTTGTACTTAGCTATAGGTGTTAAACTTCATGTTGATTAGAGATAAATTGACACTTTAGAAAGAGGTATTATTAGTTTTTCAGATTCCTGTTAGTTTCTAAGTGCACTCATGTCAGATAATGGGAGAACATAATGGAAATAGTGTTAGAAGTATTTGTCTTAAAATTCCTTTCTCTCCCCTTAAAGAAACAGTCTCTAAATTCATGTTACTGGCACACTAATGTGCATCAGAACCACTTGGGGATCTTGTTAAAGCAGACTGATGAAGTAGGTCTGGGGTGGGACCCATATTATGCATTTCTAGCCTGGTATGGACGCTATTTTTTCACAGACGAGCTTTGAGGAACAAAGTTCCAAATGACTAGGTTTCAGAGAACCAAAGCAGGGGTTCTCAAACTTTGCTGAACATTAGAATCACCTGGGGAACTAACAGATCTCTGCCCAGGTCACACCTCATACCAATTAAATCATGTTGAGGATGGGCACCAGGCTTAAAGATCCTCAGGTGATTCTAATGTGCCCCAAACTTTGGGGCTGGGTTGGTATTAGTGAAGCAGATCTCAGTAGTCAGGGCTGTCTTGCCAAGGCCAGTACTTAAGGTAGGAACTTGGAGAAGCCCGAAGATGGCATGAAAATACCTCTAAGTCAGTCCGGACTTTTTTCTTTGTCTCACACTTTATATCCATTCTGTGAGGACATCATGCAAGTTCCACCTGCAAACCTAGCCAGAATCAGTTCCCGTCTCCCCTACGTTGCTGCCACCCCGGTCCAGTTCACCATTCTCTCACCTGCATTAGGCATTAATTGTTCTCCATGCCTCTGGGGCTCCCATTTAGAACCTCTTCCCAACACAGCAGTTAGAGCAATCCTTGTTGAAACATGAGGAAAAAGAGATACTGCTTTCTGCCCAGACCCTGCACTCGTTCCCCTTTTACTCAGAATAAGAGCACAACAGCTTACAGCAGTTTAGACTTTGTGTTGTTGCCCTTGTGGGTCAGTAGTACCCGCATCAGCTGGAAACCTGCTCGAACGATGGAACCTCAGGCCCTGCCCCAGAACTGCAGAGGTAGGCCCAGGAAGCACCGGTGATTCTTCTGCTCGTTAAAGGATGGCAGCAGTGATGCAGAGTCGCTGCTCTGTCCTCCCCATGACCTCTCTAAACTCATCTCACTTGCCAACTCATGTCTTCTCGTGTGTTCCTTAATTGTCTCAGGTACACTGTTAACCGGCCTTTACTCTTGCTGTTTCTTCATCTTCCCAAGAATCCGCTCAGCCAACTCCTTCATGTCCTTGAAGCGATTTTTCTTAAATATCTCTTCTTAGGGAAGACTCCCTCCAGGACAGCAGGGATCTTTGAAGGGCAGGGACTTAGGGTCAGACAAGTGAGGCACCCACTTCCAGAACAAAACTTACATGGGGCGGGTAGGGGAGGGGGGGAGAAACAAAAATAACCTGGTCATCAAGATGAGTAATGTATTAATGCAGTATTTAAAAAATAGAAGTTAATGCGAAAAATCAACACTTCAAATAAAAATAAGATCACTAACAGTACTGTGCCAAGTCATGTTGGAGCCTGAGGCAAAGAGTAATACTGATCCTGTCTTTATTAAAAAAATGTTGATGTTTTGTTCATCATGAAATTTGGGGGTTTATTCTTATTTTAAAATATTTTAAAATCTTACTCATCTTAATTATTGAGGGGTTTTTTGGTTTTTTTTTTTTGGTGTCTACTTATATTTCGTTCTCAAAGTGAGTGCCTCACTGGCCTTACCCTAGTGCCGGCTCTTAATCTTTGTTTTGCTCTCTTACGAGTCCCAAACACCCACAACACTGGCTGACACATGGTAGGAACTCAAAGTCCATGTTAATGAAGGTTAAATAAGGGCTAGTTAATAATTCTGTTCACATCAAAGACAGAACACTGAAGCTACAAGATACCTCTTTAGAGAAAAAGTGTTGTATGTGTATGATCTCTGCTACCTCCATCTGAATTATTTGACGTTGTTGTAGAAAGGGCACTTCGGAAATTGTATGCTAACAAGCCCACAGTTGCGTTTGTTCATTTTATTAATATTTATTGAATATCTACTTGGTGCCAGTGACTGGACACACTTGACAATTAGTGATGACATTTCTGCCCTCTGAAAGGATGCAGTCTAATTAGAGAGGCAGACAGCTAAGCCAGCAGTGTTAGGACACTAGCGCAGGGCTACTGCAGTGGTCTCAGCAGGATGCTGTGATAGCCTGGTAGCAGCATGCTGTGGCCTCCAGAGGATTGGCAGGGAAGGTGGGGAGTCTCGAATAGGATCCTGAGAGAGGTCTTGGTTTGCTTGGGTCAGCTCCAGTTTCCACATGTTACAAATCAGTTAACACCTGCTAATCATTTTTATTGCTCATTTTTACTCTGAAAAGCATCCACAGTTGTATGTTAAATAATTTGGTCCCCATAGTGTTAAAGGACAAGGAGTGATAGTGAGATGGAGGAAGAGAGAAGCCCTGCGAAGACACAGAGGTGAGGAAGTGCAGATAGCATTTTTAGAAATGGAGTAGGTGAGTGTAGCTAGTGTGGGGAAGGAGAGCTAGACGGTGCTGAGGAACGGGGCTGGAGAGGCTGATTAGAAAATGCTCTTGTCACTTTTTCATTCAGATGGTTGCCACCAAAGCCAGTTGTCAAACCCAAAGCCACGTATTTATTGGAAGATAGTAATGGTGATGTGTGTTCTATGAAGATTTTTCTCAGGGCTGACTTCATTGGAACGTTTTAAAGTCAGATGATCATCTATGACTTGCATTCCAGGCTAATCAATGTCTACCTTTCTGGGTGCTCTGTACACTAAGAAGAACATTTAATGCAAGAATTGGTGAATTGGTGACTCCAGGAGCAAAGGAGGGACTGTGTTACTGAGGTAGTGATTGGATTGAAAATTATTGAGGACATTTTCTGGTGTTACAGTTTTTATTTTTTATTTTTATTTTTTTAAATTTTTATTTAGTTTAGCTTTTTGCTAACTTTTTTTAGAGGGGTAGGTAATTAGGTTCATTTATTTATTTTTCAATGGAGGTGCTGGGGATAGAACCCAGGACCTCATGAATACTAAGCTGAGCTATACTCTCCCCTCATCCAACGTTACAGTTTTTAGATGGGATAGAATAAGTAAAGGATGGACCAAAGTGTTTAAACAGAAGATGAAGAAGGTCATTTATGACTTCATATTTATTTCTTTCTCATTTAAATAATCTAATATACTCTCACTTATATTCAGTGTTGTTCAATCTTTGGAGTTTGATTCAGATATACGCTGATTAACAGTGATTTAGGCTGATGTGCTGGGGCCTGCCAGACTTCTCTCTCCAGCCTCCATCTTCCTCCTGGACTCCAAGCTTAGGCCTCCACCTCCATTCTGGCCATGGCACTTGTTGTGTAATGGACATCCAAAATCTAACGTGTCCAAAATTTTACTCCCGGTCTGCTGCTCACCATTATTCTGTGTCCCCATGCGTTGTTATTTGTAATATACTATATTTAATTATACTTGCCAAAAGCATTTAAAATATCATGTAGTTATTTCTTTTAGTATTAGGTTGACCCACACCTTGAAACAAACAATAATTGTAAATGCTTATCAGGCCAGAGTGAAAGTATGATTTGGTTTTTGTAGTCAGTGTCTGGGCCCCATTCTTGGACATTCTGATTCAAGAAGTCTGGCAGGGGCCCAGGTTCCTGTATTTTGAAAGTGTCTCCCAGGTAATAGTCTCCACTGATTGAAGAACAGCTGTAAAAAGAAACACCCTAGTTTTTAAAAAAGGATAATAGGTAAGTAGAGGAAACCATAGTAAAGGCACCACAGCTCTTACTGGTGGTTGTATATCTCCTCAGTAAACATGTCCAAATTATTTTGATTCAGAGAAAGTTTGGGGATTTTTCTTATATTTTTTATTTCTTATGTATTTAAACAAACAAACAAACAAATTCCAGCTAGCATAGAGCTTGTTGATAACAAGATGTATTGTCATTAAAAAACACATCCGAGGTCTGTTTGCTCTAAATGACGTCTGTAGAGATACCCTAGTTGTTTGCCTAATTGCTCTACGAAGCACGTGGCTCAGCATTTCCTGACATTTTCATCTACAGCTTGTGACACAAATATTTAATTTTGAAAGAAGTTGGTCTCATCACAGAATAGTAAAGAGTGAAAAGTTGAGACAGTACCCAGTAAATTAGAAATGTCAGAGAACCAGAATTATCCTCGCCCCTGACTTTTAGGAAGAACTGTTGCTACTGGGAGTTGAATCTAGAAAGCAGTTTTCCCATGGGTCAGGGCGGCATGTTCACCCCAACAAGCCTAACGTCTTTAGTCTGGTTTTCAGAACTGTTCAAGAACCTTCCCTGTCTTTCTCACAGCCACCGCTGTTAAGGAGGCTGGCTCTGCTTCCAGTCAGGCGAGACTAGAACTTTTCCAGAAGCACTATATTTCTGGAGCCCTCAGTGATTTTGCATATCAGTGTTCAGGTTTCTGCCTGCCCTGCTCCTTCATCTTACAGATGTAAAACTAATTAGCAACTTTTCTGGCAATCCTTCCCTAGTATGTCTTCAGCCAGAGACAGGTGTTTCTCCTGTGTTTCCACATGACCCGAAAATGTGCCTTCATGGCACTTCTGACATCGGGGGACCTAACCTACGGAGCTCAGAGAAGACAGAAGCCAATTCTTTATTCATTTTCTATCTCCACATGTAGTAGGTCCTAAGCAGGAAAATGTAATAATAATACAACTTGGAAAGACTGCTTTCCCCATTGGAAAACGAAAGTGAATTTTCAGTTTTGTTTTCAGTTTACTAGAAGATGGTGTTGTCAAAATAAACTTTAAAAAGGTGGAATGACTATCTTCTAAGCACTTTTTAGGTAGTGGAAATTTTATGGTTAGTACTGATAATCTGGACAGATTTATGTGAGAAAAATGTTTAAAATTGGTACCTGTTGGACAGGGGTGAGAAAGCAAGGAGAGACCAACTTCATTAATTCAATAAACACTTATTACTTACTTAACAAATGCTGCAGTGTAGGAACACATACAATTTTGGAGAGTTTTTTACATACATAGTTTTGTTGATATTCCCCACTAAATGGTAAAAGGAGTTCTGAAAAAGGTCCATATGATTTAGTAAACATCTTTCTGACTATCAAACTTTAATCCACTGTGATGTTACCCAGGGCTGGAGAAGATTAATTTACTCTTGCCTCCATGTGATTCAAGATTTTTTTCCATTAATATAGCTTCCAACGTGCTCAATTTGCATTAAGAAAAGGGTTTACTTAGTTGACATGATCTTGTGTATTTCATGCAGCGTTTGAGTTACTGGGAGACTCCATAAATGTTTGATAAATGGGTAAATGAATGAACAAACAGTATAGTATTTCCACTTTGAAAGAATTTATGTCTAATTGATTAAGTCTAAGTGGGTCAGTGACTTTGTCCTCTCTGTAGATTTGGTATTGTAGGAGGATATTTATGAAATTGAGCGGTTTTGTTGCTAATTTTGTGTGACAGGAAAATCTTTGAAGGAACACATTGTCTGTAAATTAATTTGACTACTTTTTTAAGTGTTTCTCTTTCTCTAGATTTTAGTGCCCATTCTTTCCAATAAGAACAACCATAAATCCTGGTCCTGTTTTATTTCACAAGACATGGAACGTCACATAGAAGTCATGAGAAGTAAAATGCATGTTTTTAGAGGCAAAATGTTGAGAAGAACTCTTCTACCAATTCCCACTATTGCAGGAAACATTGACCTGGATCAGAAATATTCAGAGATCAAGTACGTAATGATACGGTTTACACAGGATATCAAAATGGAGAGCCAGTGTACCGATTTGATACCACACCTCCAGCAAACTTAGCAAAACGGCAAGATTTTTATAACTACAGCATATTTTCAAAATAATGTGCATCAATACCATGTATATTACTTCCTTTCAAAGTATATTTATTGACATATAGTACATTTATGTGTTAATTTCTGGTGTACAGCATAGTGATTCATTTCTACATATATAGACACATTCCTTTTCATATTTTTTCATTATAGGCCATTACAAGGTATTGAATATAGTTCCGTGTACTATACAGCAGGACCTTCTTGTTTATCTATTTTATATATAGTAGTTAGTATCTAAATTCCAAAAAAAGCAGACTGTACAAAAAGCAAGCTGTAACAATTGCCATAATGTCAACAATATTCTTTAGTATAATGGTTTTGAGAACATGATGACTCTTTGTTTCACAGCTTTTTAAATATTAGAGACAAGCCAATGTCAGAGTAACAATATCACAACTCATATTGAGGCTATGGAAATGATGGATCTGATTTTGAAGTAGTTATATTTAGAACTAGTTTATAGATTCATAAAATGCCTAATAAATCCAAATCCTATCCTTATTTGGATGAAAAGACTTGTTTTTAAATTGTTATTAATAGTTTCAATGTTTGCAGGGTAGAATCAAATGAACGGACAATTCTCCATGCAATTGAATCAGTGGTTATTAAATGGTCACATCAAATCCAAAAAATTGTAGAACAAGATTCAGTGCAGCCTTTACTGAATTGTCTTCACTCAAATCCTCAAACTGAACTGGATTTCTGGACGATGAGGAGAGAGAATCTGTCATGCATTTATGATCAAGTAAGTAGAGAGCCCTAGAAATTGCTTCTAAGTAGAGTTACAAAGTCAATTGTAGAATGTAGTCTCCAGATCAGTGATTTCCAGTGACTTTAACGGTTTAACATACTGTCTTTGAATGACTTAATTGTCTGCCTTCTTTTTTTATTCCAAACTTCTGTGTGGTATGCACTCTGAAAATTAATGGGGATTAAAAGTAATTTTGCCTTCTGAGAATATTTTGACAGCATTTGAGATAATTGGAAACACTTTGTGGCATAGAAAGAGTAGTTCCCCAGGGAAACCATGATTGTAAGATTTAATTAATCTCGTTGATTTAATTGATTTGGGAAAGGAGTAGGGTCTTACTGAGTGGAGAGACGCAACTTTGGAAGAACTAACTTTGGTTCCTCTGTGGGTGTTTTCCTTACAAGTTACTTGATGTTATGTTCTAAAAACTAAGATACTCGTTTACATGTTCACCTATATCTTAAACATTTTCTGAACCACAGCAAGAAATTTTTATGGAGAATTAAATATTTTACATATATATTTAAATATAAATTAACAGACTTTGAAAATTCAAATTAAGAACTATAAATGTAAAATAAAACACACTAAGAGAAAAATTTTATTCTAAATATTTTCAGCTTGAAACCAGGTATGTCTTTGAGCATGAAATACTGTGTGTATTGTGCATGAGTGGAATATAATTTAAATATTTCATTGCCAAATGCATTTATTTAGTCATTAATGTAGCTTGCATTTTTTTTTCAACTTAGCTCCGGGCTCCCATCGTCCTCAAAATGGTTAAGATCCTGAAAAATAAGCAAAGCAGCTATTTTCCAACTGTGAAGGACATCTTTATGGCTGTGAAACATGGTGAGACTCTTACTCCTTGGCCTGGCATCAGCAGTCACTCATGACTTGACTCCTGCCTGTCTGCTCAGCTTCCTCTAACCTTCCACCCTTAGCGTGTTCAGGAAATGATTACACTTGGCCCTCCTAATGATAAAACCATCTTAACCATCTGTACGTCGTTCTCCAGCTGTACTCAGCTATTTTTAGGGTTGAAGTAAGTACCTATGAAAGAGGCTGTAGATGGAACTTGCAGTGATAATGCAGGTGTAGAGGGGAAAGCCTTTGGTGTTTAGTGGGCCATCCCTGAAAGCCCAGCATAGAGATTTTCTGACCCATGGTTGGGCTATGATTAGTTACTCACCAGTAAAATCTCTGAATGTGCTTAACATCCACCACTGGTTTAGCTTGTAAGAGCTCTGAGTCACCATTGAAGTTTTGGTGAAGATTGAGGATGAGACACAGCGAGAAAGGTTTGTTTGAATTTTGAACAGGTAATATATGTATCTTGTTAAAAACCAGAAATTGTAAGAAGGTACTTTTGATGTAAAAAAGGAAATTGTAAAAGTGAAGTCTCCTTATCTTCTCAGTATCCAGTTTCACCATCACCCAGGGGAACAACTCTCCCTAGTTTCCTGATTTTTGTTCGTGTTTCTTTAAGCATGTTTAAGCAAATATGGATTGATCCATGATGCTAAAGTTTGACATGATAAAATACAGACAAAGATCTTGTTTTGGTTTGTTTCTAACATCAGATAATTACTTTAAAAAAAATTTCCTATGTAACATGTAGAAGGTTAGGAAGTTCTTAAAATCCACTTTGAAAATGTTTTGATAACTCTTCAGGGTTTTCTCCATGAACTCTGTTTGAAAAGAGTCCTTAAGATAAGGGGGAATACATGGGCTAGGATTGAGGGGTTCTGTCAGATCTGGATTTCTGTCCCAGATCCACTCAGTACATCTTTAATTTGCTGAGTCTCTGGTTTTCGTTGACCAGGTTGGCATATTAACACTGTCCCTGCAGAATTGTTGTGGGAATTAGAGCACGATTTCTCAACTTTGTCACCACTGACATTTTGGGAAGGGGAATTCTTTGTTGGGGGAAGCGTCCTGTGCATGGCAGGATGTTTAGCAGCGTCCCTAGCCTCTACCCACTGCCTGCAATTAAAAATGTCTCGAGACGTCGCCAAATGACCCCTGGGGGCAAAACCTCCCCTGGCTAAGAACCACTCGATTGAAGATAGACAGTGTACAGAGTGCTAGGCTCACAGTAAGTTTGCCCTTAGTAAATCAGAGCTTCTCCCATTTTTTCTGCTAATAAGATTAACATTTTCTTTGGATAAAGCTTCTACAGGAATCCCAAGGTCCTCAGAGCCTTGTAAGCATATGATCCAGAGATTCAGAAAAAAACACTTTCAGCAGAACAAGTGGCCTAAAGCCATTGTCAGTTAGAGGTGGAAGGCCCTCCCAAAGGCCTCCTTGGGGCTCTGTAAAATCACCAGATGTGCTTATCACATTTTAAGGGCACTTAACCTTTTAGCTGCAATTATTTAATTTTGAAATTAGTGTCTTGAGTAATGTTAATTTCAAAACATGAGCGCATCTGGGGAAGAAAACAGTTCCTGGACCCTGGCTTTCTTCCCCGATCTTCAGTGTTCGATGGACAGATTGTGGTTATGTGTCGAGTTGAGTGACATGGGCAGGGGTACACCTAACTCTGGCAGCCATAAAAAGAAGTTTGGCAGGGTTTTTTGTTTTTTTCTAACAGGAGTCTTTTAGGTTAACACCAGAGAATAAAAATTCACTTTCCTTCATTTCCTACTTTCATAAATAAAGCCTATTTTCAGTTCTTCAAAGGTATATAGTCTCAGGAGTGAAATGGAATCTGATGGGGATCTGTTCAGGGTACATTAAAAGGACCAATTTTAATCAAGAGAAAACTTGGAATAGGTTAAGCAGTAATTAATAATAGTTCACGATTTAAGTGTTTTCCTCACACATAGGGTCTTTTAAAAGTACCCCCTTGTTTTTACCATGCTTAACTGTTTTTTTAAATTGAGGCAATACATAGCATAAAAATAACCATTTTAAAGTATACAGGTGAGTGGCATTTAATGTAGTCACAAAATCCTACAACGATAACCTCTATCTAGTTCCAAAATGTTTTCATCACCCATGCTTAACAACTTTCATAGTTATATTTTGAATAATAACATAACGGAAAATGTCCCAGTCATTGTGTGAGTTAGTCTCTTAGGACCCTGGAGTGAGACAGTTAACAGTTAAACTGTGCTAGGACCAAGTACCTGGAGGGAATTAACATTCTGGTAATGAAGCTTGTGATCCAAACTGGAAAGTGACAACAAGTTCACAGAGATGTTTCACTCCCACAAGTTCCATTGGGTTCACTACATTTCTTTAGACTCTAAAGGTTCTTTCCCCTGAGTCTTGGGTCACGATTTACTTGTGCTGAGTGAGTAACTGTGCCCGGGTTCTCCTGAAGGGTTGTTACAGACAGACAGTGTGCAAAGCCTTCCTAACCCATCCTGTGTCAACTGCAGGATAATTGACATGATAATTGACACTTTCTTTTAAGTGCAGTCGTATTGGTTTACATTGTTCTCCTGAACTTGTAAAGTGTATCGAGGCAAAACAGTGTATCATCACATTAACGGTGGTTTCCTTTCAGCTCTGCTCGAAGCCCGAGATGTGGAACTTCACCTGAGACCCCTGAGGAGACACATTCAGTGTCTCCAGGAGACTGAATTCCCACAGATCTGTGTATTAATTGCCCCATTATTTCATACCATCTGTCTGATCTGGAGCCATTCCAAGTTTTATAATACCCCTGCTCGGGTTACAGTTTTATTGCAAGAGTTTTGTAATCTCTTCATTGACCAGGTATGTAGCATTTAAAAAAATAGGAATGATAATTACTGCCATGTGGTTGGTTTCATTAGGTCAATGAAGAAGGAATAAGTCTTGTCTACAGAACACCTTTTTCCTCTTTTTTCATAGAGGAGTTTTATGGTAACAAAGGCCTGGTGACTTGTTATTCAAAGTGGCAAAGGCTCTCTGGAAATAAGTCAGTTATATTCAAAGGACAGGTTGTTACTGGATTCTTTTTGTTTAATATCCTACCTTCCTTCAAAGAGAGTTAAGGCAGCTTCTCATAAAAGGCACATATGGGTAGCACTTTGTATTTTCCCTTTGGTTACTGCAGGAACACTGGCTGATGGAAGAGTTTGGGAAAGCTAAGTTAAGAAAATCTTGCAGGAAAAAAAAATCCAAAAAAAAAATAGTAGAATTGTATGAAAAGAATTCTGATTTGCTGTTGATCTTAAAAAATTTTATTTATAATTGTTTCTCTTCACTTAACTTTCAAAATGTTAAAAAAAAATGGACTGCTTCCTCACCCTGTGGGAACTTTTAATTCTTGTGTTTATCATATCAGAGAATATTACATAATTTGAGAGCTGAGAGATACTTGCTGGGCACATCATCTTGTGGTTGTTATTTGGGGATGGGCAGAGTGTCTCAGTCTGCTTGAGTTGCCATAACAAGATACCACGGACTGGGTGGCTTTATTTTCAGAAACGATTCTCACTGTTTTGGAGGCTGTGAGCCCTGATCCAGGTGCCAGCATGGTCGTGTTCTGGTGAGAGCTTGCTTTCTGTCTTGCAGATGGTTTCCCTCTGTCCTCACACGATGGAGGGGAAGAGATGTCTCTCTTTCTCTTCTTATAAAACCGCAGTCCTATCAGATAAGGCTTCCACCCATACGACCTCATTTAACCTTAATTAACCTTCTAAAGACTCTGTCTCCAGATTGTCACATTGGTGGTTAGGGCTTCAACATACACATTTTTAATTTTTTTTTTGTTTGGAGTGGGAGGAGGACACGATTCAGTCCAAGTTCAGGGTCTGTATCGGGGTGTGCGTCTGGACCCCTAACGAGTTTTTCTAGAACAGATGTCAGAGAATCAGAATCAGTTCATATGGCTTAGCCTTCGTCGAGTTGTTAATGCTTCCTAAGAGAGTTGGACTGCCTCCAGCTGCAACTGGCAAACTGAAGCAGAAAAAGAGAAGTGTCTAAGTTCATGTGAACTGGAAAGTCTCAGAGTGCAAAAGCTGCAGGATCAGCTTGTTCCAGGGGACTCCGATGATCATTTCAAAGCTCCATTTTGCTCATTTGTTTGACTTGATTCTCAGGCTCTCACCACAAGAGGTGGTGAGAAAGTCAGGTGGATTTTGGTAGATGTGATCCTTCTAGTAGAGGAACTTCCCTGGAAAGAGTTTTTAGTTCTGGATCAATTTTTTTAATTGAAATATAGTTGATTTATATTGTATGTTAGTTTCTGGTACACAACATAGTAATTCAGTTATACATATATAGAGTTTTTTTCATTATATATTATTACAAGCTATTGAATATAGTTCCTGGTGCTATACAGTAGGACCTTGTTGTTCATCTGTTTTATATGTAGTATTTTGTATCTGCAAATTCCAAACCCCTAATTTAACCACCCTCCTCCTCTTCCCTTTGGTAACCATAAGTTTGCTTTTTATGTATATGAGTTTGTTTCTGTTTTGTAAATAAATACATTTGTGTCATTTTTTAAGATTCCACATGTAAGTGATACCATGAAATATTTGATTTATTTCACTTAGTATGATAATTTCTAGGTCCCTCAGTGTTGCTGCAAATGACATTTCATTCTTTTTTTATGACTGAGTAATAGTCCATTGTGTGTTTATATGTATATCTATACACACCACATCTTCTTTATTCAGCCTTCTGTCAATGACACTGAGGTTCCTTCCATGTCTTGTAAATAGTGCTGCTGTGAATATGGACCATTTGGTTTTATTTCCATTCCTGAAACAATCCTGTGGCTGGGGAGTTGGGATACTTTGGACAGGCCTGGATCGCTTGCTAAGAGGAGGTAGACAGCTGAGATTGACCTAAATCTCTAATCTAGTCTAATGTTTCTCAGTGTTTTTCACCTCATGACTCACATAGAAAGTTCAAAATTTTTATTGCACAGTGGGGTCAATTGATGTGTATTTGAAACCCTAAAATCTACTCACAGACAAGGCAAACTGCATGGAGCTTCTGCTGCCCCAGGCCCTGGAACCTTGCTGTTCTAAGCAGTAAAGAGAACAATGTTGTGGGAGGAAATGATTGGGGACTGTGTTCCTACCCAATCCCTGATACTTTGTCAGATGGATTAACTGAGACTTGAAAGATACCGTGTGCTCAGTTTTCTTGAGAATTTAGGGGGAAATTCAAATTAAAATACAGTCTCCTGACTTGCAGTTTAGAGTTTCTGAAGTATGAGACTGAGGTAGGGGTGTGTGTGTGTGTGTGTGTGTGTGTGTGTGTGTGTGTGTGTTTTCCTCTCTGCTTCTGAAGAGGTAGAATGGTGTATGGAAAGGACTTTGGACCCAGGCCAATCAGCGTTCAAATCTAATTGAACCACTTAAGGAGAGTTCAGTTACATCTCTGGGCCTCAGTTTCCATACTTATAAATGCCTAGTTCATGGGCTGTTGTAAGGACCAAAACAGAGAATGTAAATGACATGCTCAGTGTGTCATTTAATAGAGACTCAATGAAAGTTGGTTCCGAACTGTTGACTAACTAACTGTAGCTATTGCTAGGAGATAACAGGTCAGTGTCTGCTGTTTTTGTGTCCTCTCCTCTGGCTTCATTCTATTTCTCTGTTGTGCAGACAAGTTTGCTCTGTTGCTAACCAAATGTACTGGATCCTAATGGCTCCGTGTGAAAGACCTAAATCCCTACTGCAGGGTTAACAGCTGCAACCACCACTCCTCCCAAACCCCTTTTGAAGTCTCCTCATCTAATCTTGAGAAAGATCAAAACTTTTACTACAAAGCCTTGTTAGTGTAGAAACCCTGAAGGTTGTCATTCATTGCTGCAGGTGACTCAAAGGAGTCCTGGTACCCTGTAAACCTATAAACCTATTATTCCTGGAGCCTGGTTTGTATTGAGGGCCAGAATTTGCCAAGCTTCTGAGGAAATAATGTCGTTTCCCTTGTTTCTTAGTTACCGTTCCTGGCTTATGTCCAAAAGTTCTGTTGACCTGATTTCTTAGATTCTCCAAGTGGACTTTGTAGTATATCTGCCCCAACACGTTAGGAATCAAAAATAGGCAGTGAGTCAACCTTCATACCTGGATTGTCTGAAGAGCTAAACTCTGCACCACCGCCCACTACCCTCAGTCATTTGCTAATTTATTTTTAATATTTATTGAACAAGCACTGTATAGTGCCTATTACTTCCCAGGATTCTTCTAAGCCCTTTGCAAAAATTGACAAATTTAATCCTCTAGCAACACTATGATACAGGTACTATCAGATCCATTTTATATTAAAAAAAAAACAAAAACCCTGAAGTCCACAGGGGATAAATAGTGTTTTCAAGATCACCCAGCTTGTAGCTTACAGAGTTCTTACTCATTATGCTGTGCTCCATATTTTAAAATAAGCTTTTATTATTACTATGATAATTATAAAATATTGACAAAATTTATAACCATGGAAATAGTCTTGAAGTTCTATCACCCTAAAATTCATCATTCAAAATTTTTCCTTTCTCCAAAACTTGCACATATTTATGCACTTGATATATAATTTTTTTACTAGCTTCTTGAAAAATGATTTTGTTATTGTTGGATATTTAGTTTGCTTCCAGCCTCCTGTATTATAAACAACATATAGAAAACAACTTTATACAGAAATCTTTTTTCCTTAACTTGGTTAATTGGCCTAATATAAATTCCTGATGTTGGCCAAAGGTTACAGTCTTTTCACAGCTCCTGAACAATACTTGATACTTATAAATTCTTTTTAAAATACTACATTAATTACATTGCCGTTATTAATTACATTGTTGTTATCAATGTATAAAAACTTTTACTATAATTTATCAGCTTTGAGTATTACCATTTTAAAAAAATTGCAGTGATTCATTGGGTATATAATTAACATATTGTTTCTTAATTTTGTACCTTGCACTATTTGTGTGGTTACACATTTTATATTTTTTTTAAATAATTTCCTCATGTAGTTTTCCTGTACTTTGTTTCTAGGACTCTATTGACTTTAGTTGGTTTATGAAACATTTGGACCCTTGCTGTGTTATACATCAGAGGTCATAAGCTGGCATTCTGTCAGCTATGTTTGGCCAATAGACCAATGCAGTGTTTTTATTTTGTGTAGTATTTTGAATTTTTTTAAAGTTGCTAACGCTTAAATTGAATAGGTCTCATTTAAATTCCAGCATCCCTGCCTCCACTGAAAACTCATATCTTGCAACATTGGCTCTGCCATCTCTGTTGGCACGATCAGTTGCTAGAGCTTTGGGTACCCCTCTAGGTGGGTCACGTGCTATGCTATCCCAGTGACCACAGTCTCCACAGTTCCCTCTTGTTCCTGATCTGCTTCACCCATTTTCACTACCTGCCTGATCTTTCTAGGTGTTCCAGTCGTGGTCAGACACCCTTTGTTGCTTTTAGAAGCAAATGTGCTTCTCGTTTGTTTTCTGACAGTGACGATGAACATAGTCATTTAGGCCAGACTTGACAAAAGGCAGCACCTGACCACCTCGGACGATGGCACATTGAGCTTTGTTCATGGCCTTTTTTTTTTTTTTTTTTAACATCTTGCTTCTCTTCTCTGGTGTTTGGACTCTGCTCCCTGTTCAAGGTGCGTCATTATCACTCTGGGCCCTCCACTCTGTCAGTTCTGTGCCTTGGTTCCCTCTCACAGATATTCTTATTCCTATGACCATGGGTGAGGAAGAGTTTAAGTCTGAGAAGTTGATCTGGGAGAAGAGGTGGTAGGATTGAGCAAAAGTAGAAACCCATAAACGTGCAAAAATAAAAGCAAAGCTGAGAGGCCTCAAACCAACATCCTGTCATTGATAAATTGCTTAGTTGATAATTGATTCATTGGCTTCTTGATAAACTGGTTAGTGCTGTTTTACTTTATAAGGCCTCTGAAGTGGAACTAGTTCATCCTAAATTCAGTGGCTTTTTATTGGTTTGTGCTGATACCCTTGAGTATGGGAGACTAGCAGAAGCTGGTGTGGTTGGGTGTGCTCCAGAGAGATACTCTAGGAGGCAGGAAAGAATTCAGAGCGTAGGCGCTGAAAAGAATCTTGAGGTTCACTTAAGGCAACTGAGATCCTCTGAGACAACTTAGCTCATGTCACAAATGCAATTAGTGGCCCCTGACTGGGTCACAGCCAGGCCTCCTGTCCCTGCTGATGGTTTTTTCACTCACATAACCTGCTGCCCAGTGAAAGGATGTAGACTGGGTGCTCTGATCTAGGGTACTCCGTTCTCTAACCTTGTTCTGGGAGGGCTTATTCATCAGTGAGCTCTAAGAGCAGAAAGTTGGTTACTGTGCTTGACGCATCAATGTGAGGGTGGGACAGGAAGCACAGATGTGACTAGAAGGAGGGCTTGCCCAGAGGAGGTTACTTCACACATAGGTAGTTAGGTCATAGGGTGCTGCTAAGACAGACGGCAATGAAGTCATCTCTAAAGGTTTTCTAGCTTCCTAAGAGGACACGTTTATTAACAAGAATACATATAGACACAAAGGCCTATGGAATCTCTAGCCCATACCAATGTGTAAACTGTTACACAACTCACATTGCTAAGGGATTGCTCGTAGGTCTCTTCCCTGTTCTGTGTGAGATGTTAGCAGCCTTCAGGTAGAGGTTAATTTCCCATCCAGCCTGAGAGAGAAATGAGAGCATAGGTTGTGAGTCTAGAGCTAGAACTTGAAGGAACTAATCAGTAGGGTTTTAGACATTAAAGGGATTTTTTTTTGTTACTTTCCAAATTTATAGCACAGAGTCTATATTGCATGTAAAACTGTAGCCATTAATGGGAGAAGGGATATTATGTCTACACTGAGAAAACAGTTTCTTTCATCTGCTCAGTTGAACTCAAGTGGCTTTCCTGACTTTCCACTGATTTGTAACAATTTTTTTTAACATTTTTTTATTGAGTTATAGTCCGTTTACAATGTTGTATCAATTTCCAGTGTGGAGCACAATTTTTCAGTTATACATGAACATACATATATTCATTGTCACATTCTTTTTCTCTGTGAGCTCCCACAAGATCTTGTATCTATTTCCCTGTGCTATACAGTATAATCTTGTTTATCTATTCTACGTATGCCTGTCAGTATCTACAAATTTCAAACTCCCAGTCTGCCCTTCCCACCCCTTCTCTGTAACAATATCCTAAGAAACTGAAAAAGGCATATAATTTAAACCTGTAATTTAGATGAGGTTAAGATGTATCAGGATTAGAACTTACAGGTTCTTGAGGTCCCTAAACAGGAAAGTTCTGAGAGTTCACAACAAATATGGAGAGGAAAGGACTGGAAGGAACCTCTGTGATGGTCCTGTGAAAGTGAGGCCAGTGCTACACAGATCTGCTGGGTTTTCTTTCAATAGTCTCTCCTTTGCATTTCCTCTGTTCATAACTAGTTCAAAGGTTATATCTCAGCTAGATTTTATGTCCTATAATGAGCTTAAGCTCCCCAAAGAGAAATTTACTAGCCTGAAAGAATTGCCCGTGGCATATACTCACCTATTACAGCAGCTCTTATCACCTTTGCAAGCGGTCCTGTGCTGTCAGATAAGGTGACCATATTTTTAAAATACATGGTATGATAGATGTCCCCTTCTTTTTTATATGAAAAAACAGTTGTGCAGAATATTTGCTGCCAGGAATAGCCAATGCAAATTCTGATGACACAGTTGTTGTAACTATGAAGATTAGGAAAAATTTAGTCACAGCTAGAATGTATAATTGCAGAAATTGTAGCATCTCCTGTAGATTTCTCTAGTGTCTACAAGTATGTCATTGAAACCTCCATGCCTGAATTTGTAGAATTTGTTTTCTGTCTCACAGCACTGCTGGCCCAATTGTAGACATTGTTATTTGAAAATGGCTCATTGAAAAAATAAATAAAATAATGCATTGAAACAGACTTAAAAACTGTGAAACATATTTTCTTATTGTTTCCTTCCATTAAATCCTAGGCAATAGCTTACCTTTCACCTGAAGAGCTTTTGAAAGGAGAAATTGAAGACTCTCTGGAAAAGGTGCAGGTGGCCGTGAACATCTTAAAGACTTTCAGAAATTCTTTTTTCAACTATAGAAAAGGATTGGCAAGCTATTTTGTGGGCAGTAAGGAGCTGAAACCATGGGATTTCCAGTCTCATCTGGTGTTTTGTAGATTTGACAAATTTCTTGACCGTGTCATGAAAATAGAGGTATTCATTCATTATTTCACTTGTTATTTATTCATACTCTAGGTTGATTCAGGAAAACTTGTAGCTTTTTATATGAGTCAGGGGAACAGTTTATTCTGTTTGGATGGGAGGTGGGACGTCTCCTTTCTTGGTCATTCTCAGGCACTTAAAAGGACAGTGCTGTCAAGATACAGTACAGACTTTCACTTGTTTAGTTTCAAAGCTTTGTTTGGTTTTAAAGCTTTGGCTTCTTTTTAAAAACTCATTTATTATTATTTTATTATACTGAGTGTAAGTGAACCTCTTTATGTACCAGGGACCCTTGATTTACAACTTACTAAGTTCCTGGAAGACAACTGTAAATCAGAAAGCTATAAAATAATCCCTTTTTAAAGGGATATTAGCAAACACACACACAAAAAAAAAGTTTGGAAAATTAAGTTCAGGAGCTTAAAGCTCTAAAAAAAAAAAAAAAAGTCGTTTTATCTCCCTTGACGTGTTTTATGTTTTTTATTGGGATTCCATACCTGAAAATCTATTTGATAATCCAAAATGTCACTTTACCTTTTAGTATATAAATATATACACTATACTGTTAAAATAGTAAAATCATTCATGAAAATAGATGAAAAGAGCACAAAAACATGTGCTCTGTATCCATGTTTTAAATACCAGAAAACCAAACACTGAATACACACACATAAACACACTGACACACCAATTTGTACAGAGTCAACTGGCTAAGGTTTTTTTAGTTTGAACTGCCTTCTTTTCTTGATAAAACTCTTTCTGGCAACTTTGTGCTTTTTTGTTGCTAGATTTGTTGAATTTCATTCAAAATGAGAGCTTTATGTTTTGAAAATTCCCATCACTTAAGCAACCTGAATGCCTCTTAAAATTTGGATGCTAACTGCCTAGCTCAGAGCAACGTACATAGCCATTTCATAACCATCTCTTTCAATAAGCATCTCCTTTTCAATACTGGAGCCAATTCCTGGCAATGTTGGTGGCTGAAAATGAGTTTTGGATCTCACCTGGGCACCTGACTTATGATTAGAAGGATATGAAATTAGGGAGTCAGTGTTTAGCTATGGTAAGTTAGCTGTTTCCTGTTTGATAATTTTTAGTGCCTGTGAAATGGGAGTGTGACTTTTAAAGTAGGCAGTTACTTTGGTTAAATCATTAATATTTATTTTCTGTTGTGTAATGTCCATTGACTCCCTAGTTTTGAATGTTGGAGAAAGTTCTTTCTTTGAAACTTGAAAATACTCTTTTCCTGCTCAAGAGGGTGGAAAGATCTTTACTGTACTTTGTTTTTACAAAGGATGTATTTGTCACCATGTTGGAATTTGAGAAGCTGGACAGACTTGAATTTGGTGGTACCAAGGGAGCAATTTTAAATGGACAAATCCATGAGATGAGTGAAGAATTTATGGAACTCTGTAAACTTTTTAAACAGAGCACCTATAACGCATGTGATGACAATAACATGGTAATATTGTATGTTTGCATTTTCATTTCGTAGCATCTTACGGTTTTACAGCTGGGAGGGACAATATGTCACAGTGATACTAGGTGCCCTCTGGACCAACCTCTCGAGGATAAAAAGGGTGAAATGACTTGCCTGGAGTCTCTCATCTACTTAGTGTGGTAAATGAGGGACCAGAAGTTAGGCCTTTGCGTTTTCAGTTTAGAATATTTATAAGTTTTTCTAATGAAATAGTGGACCTCCAGCTGGATTTGTTTTTGTTTATGTATATTGAAAAAGAACTTTCCTTATTAACTCACTTTGATCTGATCATTATGTAACTTGTGTTTTATTTTAGCCTTTTTTCAAAAATCACTAGGTAAATTTTTCATCTAACTGAGCATTTGGTTTCATCTTATTCATTACATGGACTATTAACATGCGTGTTGTCTCTTTTTTATTATTTAAAGCTATTTATAATTTCATATTTTCAATCTCAGTAAAAAGAGGGAGGCTTTCAGATTTAAGCTGCTTCTGTTTTCTGGCACTGCCAGCATGTTAGGAGCCAGGGAGTTACCTGTGAGCATCCCTGCAGATCGAGGATAAAGTCTTTCTTTTAGTGGTCTGCTGTGACACAGCCCAGGTACAAAAAGATGATGCGCTCTCATCCTCCTTGTTTTCTAGGGAATGTGAATTTATTCTCTGTTATGTTTATACTTGGCCAAATAGTCAACTCTTTAAAATGTGTAAGGACAGTATGTTGGCTTTGTAAGGACCAGGTCAGCAAACTTAGTCCCTGTAAGCTATTGTCAGCTTTGGGGAAGTGGAATTAATGGTCAGAAAGACATGGCCATCGTGTGTCCTGCTGATTTGTGGAGGAGTAGGAGAAACCTAGATCTGTGGTAACGAATAGCCTGAGCTCATCCCCAGAGCCTGGTAAGATGTCTGGCACCTGGCGAGCATTCAGTGAACGTGGACCAAATGGGAATCTTCGTCGGAGCTTGGATTAGATTCTGAACAACTGAGCGGATCAGTGTGAGACCCAGCATGAATAAGACCCTTGAGTGCATTTGAGTTACAGGAGAGTCTTGATATGCTGACGATTACAAATCCTGGCAGGTTGTCAGTGCCAGAGTCAGAGAGCATGGCCAGGTTTAGCTGATGCTGCTCCCCTGGCAATGCCAAAGATGCTGAATTTATCCCTGTGTCTGCCCCAAACCTGCACAGTCACAAACATGGAATAACAAACTCATTTGCTCTAGACATACCTGTCTGCTTGGTATTTATGTTTAGTGTTTTGGAGCCTTGTTTATTTTGCAAATAAAATGGACAAGGCTTACTTCTGATCTCCAGGTCTGGGTGGGAGAAATCAATAACCTGCCCTTGAATTTCCCCTTCATCCTCCTATCTGATCATGTTACCTTAGAGTATAATCTCGAAGCTCTTTGTCTGTTTTCTGAAATCAAAATGTGAATTAACTAAAAGTTCACTTTATTGATGTGCTTATGGCATGTTGCTCAAAATATTGCAATGATGATACATTTTTTTTTTGTTGTTTTATAAGCTGTTCATTTGCGGGCCTTTGAGCTGAGTTCATTGTGTCCTGGTTTTTATGATGAGATCGGCTGGTAATTTTTAGGAGACATAATTTTAGCAAACTACTTCCAAACCTGTATATTCATACGGGTGTATCCACATGATGCACACCCACTCCTGTGCCCTTGCCGTCCCTCTGTGTACACCCTGTGTGTCCCCAACCCCCCCTTGAATAGTGCTAGTAGTGACAGGTGTGTGTATCATGATCAGCCTTCCTGTACTTTGGTGTAGGAATGGTTTAATTATGTTGCAGGCAGTTAGAGAAGCAATGACTGATAATTTGCTTTTGGAAATGCTATTATTTATTTCTCTCTTTGTTAATCTCAAGCTTATCAATCAGGCTTTTAGCCTTTACTGGTGTGAGCCTTTACTGCCACTGTGGTCCAGTTACAGAAGGTGTTGATTTTCTCAGGTGTGTCTATAAAAAAGTTCTTGGATTTCTCTGTTATTAATACTGAATAGAAAGATGACTTTAGGTACTTGATTTGACATCTTCCTGTGGGACTGTTTGAGATCTAGAAAATTGTGGGGAGAGACTTGCTTTCTTATTTATTTAATTGTAACATGTAACATTGTGCATATTTAAGGTGTACAACATGTTAAATTGACATGTTTATATATTTTAATAGCCACTGTGGTGATAATTAGCACCTCTGTCACATTGCATAAGTATCCTTTCTTTTTAGTGATTGGAATCATTATGTTCTAGTCTCTCAGCAAGTTTGCCATAGTGAATATAGACAACAGTGTTGGATGATAATACCGAACTTGGGTAAGAGACTTGCTCTCTTCATTGTTTGTGTTTAACCGCTGGGCAGGTGATGTGAGGCTCAGCAGCTTGGCTTTTGCTGACATTTTGAGATGCTGCTTGGTTAAATGAAGTTCCCAAAATACCTGAGCAAGGATGGTGACTGTTCTCAAGAGTAACTCTTTGGCTCTACTTAGTCTCTGTTAATCAGAGAGTCCATTATGTTTACTGAGCAAGCGCTGAGTACCAGGCATCGTGTCAAACCTATATATGCATTCTTGCTTAATTCTTGGTGTAACCCTGAGAGTGACTGCCCAGGCAAGTGAGGTTCAGTAAATTACCTGAAGTGACACAATTCCCAGGGAGGAACAGCGATTCCAACCCAGAACTCTCAACCTAGCAGTCTTGTCGCTTTTAAGTGTTTGTCTCCCTCCTTGCGTCCTCACTGAAATTAAGGGAATAAGTTCATCGGGGGAGACTGGAGGAACTCACCTGAGGACTTTTGCCCTGAGGTCTCATGGTCCAAGATGCTGTGTCTATTTTCCTTGTTGCTCCTAGTTTTTAGTAGGCAGGTTGATCCAGGGACTTAGCCTGCCATTACTCCAGGATTTAAAATTCATTTTCAAAGTAGTTATTTAGCCAGTCTATACTAGCTTATATTCCAGTTCCTACAATTAGTCCTCTGTTCTGTTGTAGTCTACTGAACTATTTATTAATTCTTTGGCTACTACTGTATGTAGCATTTTAAAATTTTAGCTATATAAATTTCTTATTAGTCTTCTGCAGGATTTTTCATGTCTTCCCTGCTTATTTTTCAGGGTAAAATTTATTATTTAAAAACATTACTTTTTTATTCTTTTGGAAAGGTAACGTACGCAAAAATGCAAAAATTTGGTCCCCTTCTCCTCGTGCCACTGGTTTTTCCTAGTCTTCCATCTTCCCTCCTAAAATGCATCTACCATTATGAGTTTCTTGTATAATGTTAGAGATGTTTGGCACATGTACTAGCGCTTACATGTGTGTGTTCTGTTTTTGTACAGATTACCTCCTCTACAGATTATTTAAATATATTTTGGCAGTCATTGTCACTAAATATGTTTTGGCAGTTATCTCTATCACTGCAATAGTAGTATCTACTTCTTAAAAAGAATTATATATTATTCCATTGAATTTATGTACTATTTATTTTTAAATGTTATTTAAAATAGTAGATATCATTGTTTAAGAATTTACTTAGGAACTTCTGCTTCTGGGAGGATGGAGTAGATGTACTTTTTCCTATTCCTCTCACTAAGTACAACTACAACACTGGTCACTATGTATAAAACAAATATAAGAAGACTCTGAGAGTTGTGAAAAGAAGACAGATCGGCTAGGGACCTTGAAACCCAAGTGGCCACATGGTGATAAGTTCTCTGGGTTTTCTTGTTGCTTGAAAGAGTCCAGACCTGGAGCTTGAAGACACTGGCAACCTAGAAACACCAGTGGACACAGATATTAAAAGCCCCAATTAAAGTCTGATCCCTCTCAAGAAAGGGATAGCCAAGCAAGACAGAAAGATAGACCATAATCTCTCTAGTCCAGCCGCACATCACAGAAGAAACTGTTCCCTAGCCCCACCCGTGCCAGCAGACTGTATGAGGAACTAGACTTCCATCCAGTCTGTAACAAGATGCCCCACCCAGTGCCCACACCCACGATGGCCAAGTAGGGAGTTGAGCTTTTCATCCTTGCTGGGCTGTCATGAGTTTATTCTTTGTGATGTTGGTGGAGAATACATTGGAACCCTGAATTTCTTCCCTCACCCAGCAGCATCCTTTACTCCCTAGGGTAGTGTCAGAAGAAGCGTGGTGCAAAGTCAGTACTTTCACCGTGGCCAGCTGGTGGCCAGGTCTCCAGCACTGTGACATCTGTGGAGACCACATGGAGAACTGGAGCACCCAACCATAACAGAACTCTCTGCCCTTTGGTGTTAATGTATGTCTCCACCTGACATTAATGAGACCAGAGCAGTGTCAGAGAAAACCAGCAAAAACTTATGGTCCGAGTAAGATCCAAAGCCTCATAATATGAAATGTAATATGAAAATGTCCGTTTCAGTAGGAAATCATTTATAGCAAGAACCAGGAAGATCTCAAGTGAACAAAAAGAGATTACTAATAGATACCAACATTGGGATAACAGATGTTAGAATTACCTGAGAAAGGTTTTAAAGAGCTGTGTTAAAAATGCTTCAATAAGCAATTAGGAACATATTTTAAACAAGTGAAAAATAGCCTCAGTGAAGAAATAAAAATTCTCAGCAAGTAAATAAAAGATATAAAAATAGGAATTTTAGGCCTGAGAAAAATAACAATACAAAGCACAGTGATTGTGTTCAGTGGCAGAAGGGAGTGATACAGAAAAGAATTGGTGAACTGGAAGATGGATCACTATAAAGCACTCAGTCTGAACAATGGAGAACACAGGCTGAAATAAAATGAACAGAGCCTCGGGGACTTTGAGACTGTAACAGATGTAGTGTTTGTGTCATCAAAGTTGCAGAACGAGAAGAGAAAGATCATGAAGCTGAAAGTCTCAAAGAAATAGCTGGAAACTTCCTAAATTTAGCAAGAGACATAAATCTACATATTCAAGAGGAAATTAGAAATCAGTAGCAGAAAACTAAGCCCAGAGGAAT